AAATCAGAGGTGAGGAGCTCTGAGGTAACTGAGGACCAGTCATCGTGAAACGAGGTAAGTGGAAGAATTGGTTGTTGGTTCTTATGTTTCGACTCATCCCTATAAACGTTGGCCTCTGCATTTTCTAAGGAAACTTGGTGTTGCTGTGAAGCAGAAGTTATACCAGTAAGAGGGTTTTGAGTTTTAGTGTTTTGAGTTTGAGATGAGATAGAATACGTATTTGAGGTTTGAATAGATAGAGTAGAGGATTGATCATGATGGCCTTCACATGGTAAATCATCATTTTGTTTACCTTGGTTTTGAGGAAGTTTAGATTGAGAAGGAACAAAATTTAGTGTAGCATGCAAAGTTGGTACTGTGCTATTAATGATCGGAGTCGATGTGTCTAGTGTATGGCTAGTTTCTACTGACTTGTCTATGTTTAATTGGTTTTGCTGTATAACGGCTTGGTTCCCTGGTATCTTTTGAGTATGTGGCATGCATTCTTGGAAAGACGTGTGAGAGTTAATCAAAGATGGTGATTGAGGAGCTAAAGCGTTAGCCTTAGGAATAAATTAATTGGTTGATATGGCCGGCCTTTTTCCATGGTTAAGGAACTGAGTACCGCTTAATTGTTGTGTTAAGAGAGGCCTGTTTCCCAAGTTTTCAACTATTGGGCCTTTGCTGAAAGGGTTGTGGTTGGAGTCTAAAGGGCCAGTATTGAGTAGCATATTAAATTGGTTGTGTAATTTCATATTGCGCTGATTCAAATTCCCTTGCCCTTGTGAGTTGACCCGGCCAAAAATAGGTAGTGTAGGGTTAGCAGACTTACCTGGTAGTGGCCACGCCGCCTGTAGCACCTCTGTAGCTGCCCTTGCATCTGCATGTTCCTTTCCCAGTTGCGCTTGTTTGGATTGTTGAAAATTCTTCTTAGCAAAAACTACTGTTTTCCACTCACTATCCTTCGACTGTGTAGTAGAATTTAGTTTAATCACGTCTTGTTGACTATCGATTTGTTTTTGCTCCTTAGGTACCATAATGATCTCAGGACAATTAAGAACTGGATGTCCAAATTTGCCACAGTGCGTACAAAGTAGGTTCAATCCTTCATAGAGAAGAACCTGTCTATGGAGAGCTAAGTATAGATGTGTTTTTAAAGGTTTCTCCAGTGGTACTTCAATACATATACGAGCATACCTTCCTCGTGTAGTAGTTGATGTGCAAGTATCAATCTTAATTAGTCGTCCTAACTTTGATCCAATCCGACTGAGTATTTCTAGATCATAAAACTCAGTAGGTAACTCTGGCATGCGGACCCATATAGCTGAGTACGTGAGTTGAGTGGATGAAGCTTTAAATTTTGGCTCCCATCCCCGCACAGTTAGGAAATGACTAAGTATGAACCAAGGACCTCCATGTAAAGCTTTGATCATATTTTCCTCTTTTTGGAACTTAATGAGGAAAAAATCAGAACCTAGATCAATTAGAGGAAGCACCTCTGTAGGTTTCCATAGATTCATAAGCTTATCATACATTATTTGGTGCGTAATTCTTTTACCAAAGAGCTTAACAATAACAGAGTACTTCCATGGCTCATATATACGAGACTTATCAGTTGAGGAAATTGGTATGAATAAGTCCTCGTCAGTAGTATTATGAAGTAATTCATCAGTTAGGTCTAGATTGTTTAAGGAGTGAATTAGGTTGGTTGATGAAAAAGGTAGAAGATGTTTCTCGCTTAGTAGGGTTTGTAGAAAAGAAGGTGTTTGGGATTGCTGGTTTACATCGTCAATTTGCATGGATCCTAAATCATATGGTTCTGAAATTTGATTACGTTGATCTGTTTGTGTGAGGGAATCGGCCATGATCTGTGGTGTTTATGAGAAAGTATAAGGTAGCAGTAGTTGTGTTCTAGCGTTGGTAAGCAGTGTTTTTACATGGTAGAGAGCGTTTTGAGAATTGTCTTTTATGAGAAGTTCACTCTAAAGTTCGGATCATTACAAAAAAACAAACTCTTTATAAAAGAAGGTAGGTATGTTCATCGGTCGGATTGGTTCAAATTTTTCAATTATCAAATCAAATCAATTGTGTCAGATTTTTAAATTTATAAACCAACTCAGACCGGCCAAAGTTAGGTTTTTTCAATCTCGATTTTTCTCAAGTTCTCGATTTTCTTGGTTTTCGGGTTTTTCCGGTAAAGTTTTCATTGCAAAAAACATATAACTTGTGCTCCAAATATTTCTTTAGTCCTAGTAGGATACAACTATATAAAGTGTTTTTCAAGAAAATAACACCAAATATGAGATCAGTCGTCGCGTTGTACTAAGATATTCAATAACAAAGATAATAAAATCGCATAAAATAAATACTGCTAATTAATAAGTCATAATAATATGAACATAATTTAAAAGAACTAAGTTGTGCTAAAATAAGTACGACTAATAAGTACTATTAATTATATAACTAAACATTAAGGAAAATAAAATTAAGTTAGGTATCTTCATTCTCTAACCAATGCAAAATCAAAATATAAATATCCCACACTATTGTTATTCTTAGTATTGAATTGGATTTCTTTTATTAGCATTAATATTGATTTAGTTTTGTTTGGACTTTATTTGAATTACTAACATTTATGGGCTATTAAACTTATTGGACAATTCAAAAATTATAAATCAATGTTTGAAATAGTACGTTAAAAGATAAAAACTATTGAAAAGTTGAAGAAATATTTATAATTATAAATATAAATATTTTTATATATAAAATATTTCTAAAAAATGTACACACATAATGTCGGGTTGGTTTAATTTCGATTTGACTTTTTTAATTAAAACTAAATCAACCCAATTATAATCGATTTTTTTTTCTTCAATACCAAATCAAATCAAACTATTAATCGGACTCTTTTTATTTGACTCGAATTATGAATTTGGTGCATTTTTAAGTTTTTTTTTTGTATACCCCTAAAGGAAGGTGTTTGGTTAGGAGTGTTTCAATATGATTGACGAATATAAATATTAATTCACACTTATTAATGTGGCCAACAAGTGATGTCATAATCATGACAAACGATTTTTTCTTTCCCTTATCCATTTGAAACTCGATGGATAAGTTGAAAGAATAGAAGTACCCAAATTGCACCACATAACTTTCTAAACACAACAATTATTATCTGAGTTAGGCGTCAGCTCCACCTCAGCTCTTTGACTCCCATAATTGATCACGTTAAAAACAATTAAATCCTATTCGAATATTCCACGTGTTCATTTAATGATTGTCTTTGTGGGTCCATCCTGTCTAATCACTTCCTTAAACGCAAGATATTTCCCTCCACAATCTAATCTCAAAATTTTCTATATGATTCACGGTTCGAGCCGTGGAATTATTTACGGGAGTCTCAGAGTAATGTTAAAACGAGGGGCGGCTTAAGCGCATATTTAACCTAAAGCTAAAGTTTAATGTGAAGTCTAAATATTTATATATATAAAAAAATTCTTACTTTTTATATGATAAAATCTAATTTCGTACTAAATATTTTTTTTTTAAAATACCTATAAATCTTTAATTTCTAAAAAATGACCCTCGCACATTTGAGGGCCTAAGGAACCTGCCTTATTATCTATAACATTAGAGTTGCTCCTAGTTAAAATTGTTCCCGTGTGATTAGCCACTAATACTTGCATCAATGATAGGCTGCCTGCATCTCACTCTGTTAAAGTGTAACCCTAACCCTGCATAAACACGGAATACTTTGTGCAGTAACAACCGTTTTTTTCCTTCTATATGATTAGATCTTCTCTACAAAAAAAAAAAAAAAAGACCAATTTGGATTGTAAATACCAACAAATTAATTTTGAACTAAGTAGGACAATTTGAACAATTTGTTTGAATATAATCTTTACATATTTAGGAAAACCATTAAAGTCCCTTAAATTACAAAATTATACTACTTTTAAAAATATTTCCTCACCCATCCAATCTCAAAATGAATTTCTTGAAACTGTCTTCATTCGTCAATAATTTAAATAATTCAATTCTTAGCCGTCACGAAAATTCTCTTTTCCTTTTCTTCACATAATCACCTTGTTAATTTACTAATAATAAATTTCTATATAATTGACCTCTAAAAATTAACTTTTATTTTTCTTTTCGAAAATATCAGCCGTTTGATGACCTCAGACTTTGCCGTATCCACGTGCATCAATTTCAGTGCGAAGCCAAGAATTTCGTTAAAAATTGAAAGAAGTAATTTTTTTTTTCATTCAGTATACCTCTAAAATCTAATATTTTACCTATATACGCAGTGTAATTTTTCGACGAAGGTGATCATCGCTTATGTAAAATCATGCATACGCCACTGCTTGTCCTGTCAAAATAAGTATACAAGATTTTTCCTTATACAAATAGCCGGGCAGCTTTATTATTTACTTTTCATAGTTGGTATACATAGATTATGCATTGATTACACATAATTATACATATATTATACTCCCTCCGTCTCATATTATGTGTCGTGTTTCTCTTTTATACGTCCCTTAAGAAATATTAATTAGGAAAGGGATTGGACTATTCTACCCTTATTTATGTCTTAAGATATAATCTCTCTTCATTGAATATGTATTCTATATTTATGTGTTATCTCATCTTCAAGAACAATTATTACTAAGGATAAAAAAAGAAACAAAATAATTAATTTTGTCTTGAACCTCTATAATTACAAATAATTTGAGACAACTATTTTTAGTAACCTGTTAATATGAGACAAAAGGAGTATGTAATTTATAATTACATCATATATTCGTCTAACTATTTTTAATTTAAGCGGTTAAGTCGGTTATTTTAGGTTAATTATTCTTTTCATAAACCGAAGAGTCGTTCTAAATTTGTCATTTTCTCTTCAAACAAAGTTGCCGGCTCAGAAAACGGCGGTCCAACGTGGAAGTCTGATCCACCGTCACATTTAACGACCGCCGTTTTCCTCGAACCAATATTTTTTTTGGTTTTGTTCTGGGACAGCAGAAGAAACCGTTGTAAGCTTGGCTTTGGCAGACCAAAATAACCAATCATGTTTCAACTCAATTCTATTTCTGGCCATCGTCTCAACCCCTTCATTATTATTACTATAAATAGCCAACCCTTCTCTTCCCCAATAACCCATTTTTCCTACTCATTCAATAAACCCATTATTCCTTTTCGATCCTCTGTTTCGTCACTTCCTTCAATTCTTGCTCACAAAGTAAGTCTATTCTGCCTTTCGCATTTGCTTTTTCCTCATTTTTACTTTTTATTTAATCAGTTTTTGTTCATTATAAATTTGTATTAACGAACCATAGAGTTGTTTTTTTAAATAATTTGTTGATCACGGGTTCATAATCTGATAACAGAGAAAATTAATCCAGCTGATGTTTACCTTAAAAGATAGGAGAAAATTTTCAAATAAACACTAGTTATGATTAATTGATCTGTATTCTATTCTTACCTTAATTTATGACTCTGAACATTAATTACTTAAATTGGGTACATTATAAGTTATGGAATTACTAATTACTGTTTATTATACGAGATTGTTAAATATTTTTTATACTGTCAGTGCATAAAACTTAAATTCCATAGTCAAACGGCTCTGTCCCTACTCTTTCTTAATTGAAGAATTAACCCAAATAGTTGCGAACCTAATCTTTTAAACTAAAAATAGCTGGCGGATGTATAATATATGTATAACTGATGTATATTATATGTATAACTATGTATAATCAATGTATACCGGCTAGAAAAAGTAAATAGTAAATATGGTCGGCTATTTGTGTAACAATCCCATCTTATTTTAACTCCATTAGTGGGAAAAGATTCTTATTTTAGCATGGTGATAAAAGATTATAATTTGGTTTTGATTTATTTTTTTCCTTTTTAGGGAAGTGAAGTTGAGTTTGAGAAGGAGGTCGAGGAGGAGGAATTCGCTATGACGATTACTCCATCGATTAGAATTTCCGATAGGAAGCTGGTGATAAAGGACAGAACAATATTAACAAATGTACCAGACAATGTAATTACCACTTCCGGTGCAACATCAGGTCCAGTGGAAGGTGTATTTATAGGCGCAGAATTCGATCAAGAAAACAGCCGCCACGTCGTGCCGTTAGGAAAATTACGGGATGTTAAATTCTTATCTTGTTTCAGGTTCAAATTATGGTGGATGGCTCAAAAAATGGGTGAGAAAGGAAGTGAGATTCCACTGGAAACCCAATTTTTACTTGTCGAAACCAAAGATGGGTCCCACCTCGGATCCGATAACAACAACAACAATGACAATAATATTGTTTATGCAGTTTTCCTTCCATTAATCGAAGGTTCATTTCGAGCTGTTCTTCAGGGGAATCCTGAAGACGAGCTTGAATTGTGCCTCGAGAGCGGGGATAAGGATACTGTCGGCTCGGCATTTAATCAAGCAGTTTATGTGCATGCTGGTTGTGATCCGTTTATTGTTATTACAGAGGCAATAAGGGCGGTGAAATTACACCTCAAGACTTTCCGGCAACGGCATGAGAAGAAACTCCCCGGAATTGTTGATTACTTCGGGTGGTGTACGTGGGATGCTTTTTACCAAGAAGTTACTCAAGAAGGCGTTGAGGCCGGCCTTGAAAGTCTCACTGCCGGCGGAGTACCGCCGAAGTTCGTCATCATCGATGACGGTTGGCAATCCGTCGGCGCAGACGTGGAAGTTGAAAAGCCGTTAATGAGACTTACAGGATTAAAAGAAAATGAGAAGTTTCAGAAGAACAAAGATCCAACTGTGGGGATTAAAAACATTGTGAATATAGCTAAAGAAAAATACGGATTGAATTACGTGTACGTGTGGCACGCGATAACCGGTTATTGGGGCGGGGTCCGACCCGGAGTGAAGGGGATGGAGGAATACGGATCGGTTATGAAGTATCCGGAAATTACAAAAGGGGTGATGGAGAACGAACCAGGTTGGAAAACGGATGCGATTGCGGTTCAGGGTTTAGGTTTGGTTAACCCGAAAAGTGCTTATAAGTTTTATAATGAAATGCATAGTTATTTGGCATCAGCTGGGGTAGATGGATTGAAGGTGGATGTGCAGTGTATATTGGAGACCCTAGGGAGTGGTTTAGGGGGTCGGGTTGAGCTCACGAAACAGTATCATCAAGCTCTCGATGCTTCTGTTTCTAAGAACTTCCCCGATAATGGTTGCATTGCTTGCATGAGTCACAGTACTGATGCACTTTACTGGTATGTCCACTTTCTATTTTGGTTAAATACTTTTGATCATCTTATACTGATTCATGGTTAAGAAGTTAAGATCTAGTTTACCATTTATAAGTGTTTTCTCTTTACTTATTTTGTTTATGTCCTGTCCAAGAAAAAAAAAACAATTTTGATGATTTTGGTGATGAACATTAAATCTTAACTGCTGAAACTTAGTTCTAAGTTATTCGTTTGATGTTAACATGATCTGTATATCTCATGTTATCCACTAATTTTTTGGTCAGTTTCTTGAAAATTTTGAGATATTTATTGATTTTGGAAAGTAAAGGCAATTTATAATGTGTAAAGATCTGATTTTTTAGACTATTCTGTGGTGGTGTCTTGATTATCTTTGATGAAGAAATAGAATATTGCTAAGGTCTAAGTAAATTATATTACCATCTAAACTGTTTCTTGTTTGTTAAAGTTTTTCTTTTGTAAGAATGATCATTCAATATGATACATGACCGATGTGTCTCTTCTTGATTTCTGAATGTCAATCATATATGTGAGTATTGTGTAGTTGAGCTAGAACTTATGGCATCTAGTATGAAGCTATTGCATTTGCAGATTCTATAACTTATTTTTAATGTTGAAGTTCTGAACTATACTGATATATTGTGTTTGGATCATTGAATGAAACAGCTCAAAGCAGACAGCTGTTGTAAGAGCATCAGATGATTTCTATCCGCGAGATCCAGTCTCACATACTATTCACATTGCTTGTGTGGCATACAACAGTGTGTTCCTTGGAGAAATTATGGTGCCTGATTGGGACATGTTCCACTCCCTTCATCCAGCTGCCGAGTATCATGGCTCAGCTAGGGCGTTGAGTGGTGGACCTGTCTATGTTAGGTAAGAAATTATATCCCATTAGTATTACTATTTTTTTTTTTTTAATAACCATGCTATCCGGGCCAGCTTGCGCCGCACCTCGACTAATTCCAGGGGTACCTGCCACCTCCCACCAACAGAGGGTACCTCCGCTGGGATTTAAACCTGAGACCTCACGAGTATCTGTGAATCCTTTTTCTGTAACGATGAATCAAATGATGATTTGCTACAAGTTGCTAATTTTGTTGTATTCTGAATGACAGTGATGCACCTGGCAAGCACAACTTTGATGTCCTAAGAAAGCTTGTTCTCCGAGATGGTTCAATTCTTCGAGCTCGCTTGCCTGGTCGACCTACAAAAGATTCCCTTTTCTCCGATCCTTCTCGTGACGGTGTTAGGTAAGCATTTCATTTTCAAATCAATGCTATTGATATATGTTTTGGCTCAAGTCCTTGGTTTTGCAAGTTTCTGGCCACTGAACTGCTTCTGTAATTTGATTGCAAAGGCGTGAACTGTATCAAACTAATCTTATGATGTGTTTCAGCCTCTTGAAGATATGGAACATGAACAAGTACACCGGTGTGCTTGGAGTATACAACTGCCAAGGTGCAGCATGGAACTCAGTTGAAAGGAAGAACACATTCCACGAAACTAATTCTGAGGCGATAACAGGCTATGTCAGGGGTCGTGATGTCCATTTCATATCTGAAGCTGCGGTAGACCCCAACTGGAGTGGAGATTGTGCTCTTTACTCCAATGTGAGTGCTGAGCTTGTTGTTCTCCCTCATAATGCAGTGATTCCCATTTCATTGAAGGTCCTCGAGCACGAGACATACACTGTTACACCTATTAAGGTCTTGGCACCTGGCTTCAGTTTTGCACCGTTAGGGCTCATTGACATGTACAATGCTGGTGGGGCGATCGAGGGACTAAAATACGAGGTGAAGTCAGGCGCTGAATTGTCTGAACTAGAGACTGGATACCAAGGTGAAGGCAATCTTGTTGCTGAAGATAGAATCGAGAACTTGAGCACAGAAGCAGTTGCAGTAGTGTCGATGGAAGTAAAGGGGTGTGGTCGATTTGGTGCTTACTCGTCTGTCAAGCCAAGGAAGTGCACTGTTGGTAGAAATATGGTTGATTTTGCCTATGACTCAGATTCTGGTTTGTTAACTCTGAATCTTGATGATATGCCTCCAGCTGATCAGAAAGTGCATCTCATTAAAGTTGAAGTATAGATATTTAAAAGGCATTATTTTGGGGACAGAGATGCTTCTGGGATTAAAGTAAGGGAAACCAACTATTCCTTTGGCTCTTCACATCCCTCCTTTGGGTTCGCGAATTGCGAGTTAGAATGCACTGGTTGGGACTAGTTAGGTTTATATTAACTTCCCGGCTTAGATTATGATCCCTATGCTCTGTCCCCTCAACTGATTTGTATGTCACCATTGAATACTTAGCTCCGTTTGCCTTTTCATTGAAAGAAGGCATAGCAAAAGCTAGTGAGAGAAGGAAGGATAAATCTATGTATTTCTACTTTTGATGGAATGTTCATGTCCTAGAATATTGTATTTGTATTTGATAGTGTGTTCATTCTTTCCCCAGACCCCACTAGTGGTTGATGTTATTGTAGTGTGTTCATTCTTTCCAACATTTTTGCCAATTTGATGGTGATGTTTTCATGAATAAAAAGAAAATTAATGGTGATCTTGCCACATCACATGACTAGTAGGGGTAGCCCGAGTTTTACCCGGGTCCCACGTCAAAGGCGAAGCCAGGATTTCAACCTTATGAGTTCCGACGACTTCAAGTGCTGGGTTCCGCAGAACTCGGTATACATTATGTAACCTTGTTATTTTAAGCGTAACATTTTGTGAATAATTGTCTTCATTTTAAGCCTGGACAACAAATTTTTCTCTTTGAGAACAGTTGTCTTACTGCTAAGCTAAGCTTTCATATTATTGTTGTATAAATATCCAGCTATGGTTTCACAATTAGAGTAGAGCTACGATCAAAAGCTTCTGAGTTTTGGAGGTATGATGGAAACATAAATGCATGCATAAAAGGAGCTACCTGCATTTACAAGAATATACAAAGACACAGTTTGCATACTTATTTACACAAAATGTGAATGCAGTGAACAACCGCATCAAAATTTGCATAGATATTTACACAAAAATGCGAGAAGACTGTACTGAAATGAACAACAGCATCAAAATCTGCATCACAACTGCTGTAGGCCATCAAAAAGCATTCACGCGACCTTCGTTGCAGTCAAAATCTGATGAAGTATCTGTATGAACAACAAACTGACAGTGAGAATAAAAGAACAGTTGGAAATATGCAGATTGGACATAAATTTTATTTTGAATTGTTCCAAAGTTAACCACACACTCTTTTTGCTAAAGAAGGCACAAGTTTTTTTCTTCTCAGTTCAATACTTTCAATACCACAACAACAATAACAAACCTAGTATAATCCCACAGTTGGGGTCTGGGGAGGATAGTGTATACGCAGACCTTACCCCTACCTTGTAAAGATAGAAAGGCCAATACTCTATAATGAAAATTGTTTCAATACTCTTAAATTGTTCAGAGAAGTTAACTGTATTCAAATTTTTAACATAATGGTTCATTTTTCACGCAACAACACTTCTATTATTATGAACTTACTCTTTGCGTTTGAGGTTGTTTATTAAGTGCATGCTTTATCATTTTGTTTGTATACCCAAAAACAATCTTTTTGCCCAACTAACTCATACGAAAGCTATAAAAAGAAAAAGTATAAGCTATCAAGTTTCAACTTCTAACCTTCAGCGTTTCTGCGGAGGACTTGCTGATTGTATGCTTGGTTTCTTGCCTGGCGTTGCATCTTTTGTTGATGGACTGCGATCTGCTTCTACAAATGTGATGGATTCTATCTTTCCCTTACTTCCCTCGCCAATGGTCGTTGATGTTGAAGATTGTGGCAAGTCCAAGACAGTTGTTTTCGGGTTTAAGATTAGCTGACAAATGTACCAGGTGCTCCATCGGGTGTTCTGAGTAGTGACTTCTGCAAATGAATTTTGAATTGCCTGTGCAGCAGGTGCTCTCTGTGCTCAGCAAGTAACAATTGCTTCTGCAGAAAAAAGTTTAGACAACACAAAATGAGTGAAGTGATGATTTTAAATTAATTTCAGTAAGTTGAAATGATCCTAGAGCTGTCAGTATGTCCAGCTTCACAATGGTAGTTTCATATATTTGGTCCGCTGTTAGTGAAAGCATCCTTTCAGCCAATTTCTCTGACACTACTGCTGCTACTGTTCCGCTCCCATGTCTGATTCCAACTTCATATCACATCTGCGATGCTACTTTTTTGTGCGAGTTAATTTAGATGATATATGGAAAATAATAAAGTTTTGGCTATCAGATGTCTATAGTGATACTTCGTCAATGGTAAACAGTTGTTATTACCTTGGAATCAACATTCTCAGTAGCTTCCAGTTTGATACAGAGAGCTTTCTTATTTGCGATTGATTCGTGCTAGATGTTGACACTTAGAGCACAGAAGCACGAACAAAAACTGAAATTCACTCGGCAATGATATTTCTCCTTCAAAAGTCTAACAGCTCTATCTCCTCTTTTTCCTTTTGACCATATAATTCATCTTAATGCTAACAGTTTCCTTCCTGTAAATGCTTTTGCTAGGATGTTATCTAATTGACTGTGGTCATTCTGTAGTTCATTATCTTTTTCTGATTTTATCCCAGGTGTATATTATTTTTACAGCAACAATAGAAGTATAATTATTAATACGCCTAAGCAAATCAATAAAGTACAGTAAATGGTTTCCAACAGAAATCCTTGATAAAATATTCAGATGTAAATGAACAAAGCCAGCATACAAGAAACTGCATAGTATACGCCGCGGAAAAGTTCAATGTATAGGAGAAAAAAATATTCTGAGCACAACAGTTATTTGAAGGAACACAAGTTGATAACAGCAATCACTCCAATGGAATAATGGGATGAGAAAATCAGATACTGGTTTCCCGACAGCCTCATCCTTCATTTCAACACATGCAATCCAAAAAAATGAAACACATAATAATAATAATGCACAACAATAATCAGATATAGCAGCAAAAGAATAGTAGATGCTAAATCTGATCAAGATCAGAGACTGTATCATATGTTTAAAAAGCTCACAATGGACTATGAGGGAATGGCTAAAATGGGGACTATTTCATCTTCAAAAGGTGCAACATTTAGTATGCAATTAGCACCTGCCCGTTGTCCTTTGCCTGTAATGTAATGGTAGATTATTGTGAATTTTGTTGGTATTATAATCTGGTAGTTTCAGAGTGAAGTTCAGTTTTCTTCGTGCTTCTATGCTCTGAGAGTCAACATCTGGCACGACTCAAGCGCAAAAAGAAAGCTCTCAGTATCAACTGAGAGCTACAAAAAATGTTATTCCAAGGTAATAATAACTGCTGATAGCCAAAACTTTATTATTTACCATATTTCATCTAAATTAACTTGCACAAAAACATATTGTAGATATGAATTTGAAGTTGAAATCACAGACGGAAGCGGAACAGTAGCAACAGTAGTGTCAGAGAAATTGGCTGAAAGAATGCTTTCATCAACAGCTGACCAGATACATGAAACTACCATTGCGAAAGTGTATATACTAACAGCTCTAGGATTATTTCCATCTTACTGAAAATTAAGTTAAAATCTTCACTTTACTTATTCTGTATGCTCTAAACTTTTTCCCGCACCTGTTGCACAAGCAGTTCAAAATTTATTTGCGGAAGTCACTACTCAGGATACCAGATAGAGCACCTGGTACATTTGTCAACTTATCTTACGCCCAAAAAGAGACCGTTTTCGACTTGCCACAATCTTCAACATCAATGATCATTAGCGAGGGAACTAAAAGAAAGATAGAATTCATCATATCTGTAGAACCATATCGCAGTCCATCAACAAAAATGCAACGGCAAGAAGGAAACTAAACATACAATCACCTAGAACCATATAGCAGTCCATCAACAAAAAATGCAACGGCAAGAAGGAAACTAAACATACAATCACCAAGTCCTCCGCAGAAACACCGAAAGTTAGAAGTTAAAACTTGATAGCTTTCAACTAACTGACAATACAAAGGTAATAACAACGTTAGGTTCAATCTTTTAACCTAAAAGGAAGTTCTGCTTTTGCAGTTTAAGAACAAGGGAAAATAAAAGCAGAAAATAGATAAAACTATGGTCACCTTTTACTTCCACGTATGCTACACAAAAGTGACACGACAGTCAGGATAATTCTTTCTGTTTATCTAAACATTTTCTCATAATTATCCAACAAAATCCAAATTTATATGCTGTGAACTCCCCTCCAGATCACTTTGTTAAGTAATATAGATGTTAAAGATGAGAATCCACGTGTTGAGCCAGCAACCGAAAGAGTCAGCTAACATGAAATGTATTAAATTACAGAAATACCCTTAGATTATTTAGTAATTCTAGGGGAGCACACATGTTGACGGAGCAGCGCCTATGTTCTTATAAAATAAGCAGAATAGTAATATGTTGAGAAACTAAGCTTCTTTGGTTAATGATGACATTAACAAAAACATCATGTATAATCATATATGTATACATAAATTCGCCGATCTTTTTTAGTTTAAGAAATTGAGTGGGCTGTTATTTAGCTTAATTCTTGTTTAAACTTTTTATAATAACCCAAGACGTGCAAGTTTTTTGAACGTTCATTTACTTTCAACAAGAAGCCATCTTTTTCTCTTTGCATGTGTCCTTAACAGTCTTCATATCTAAAAACGTTCCTACCATAGCACAAAAAACACAGTAGAATCGCGCAACATATGCCCGCTGATGTGCTTCCTGCTCGCGAGCAAAGAAAATATGCCCGCTGGTCTGCTTCCTGCTCGCGAGCAAAGAAAATATGCCCGCTGGTCTGCTTCCTGCTCGCGAGCAAAGAAAGGAGAGCGACAAGCTTCAGTACAGATAGAAAGACTGGAAACTTTCATATAATGAACAAAAAATTTCATGTGCCTGTCCCATTTCTGGAAAATGTTCAATATACAGGACAGTCTACTAGAAGCTGCAAGCTCTTTCATGTAGTTGCGAAAATCATTTACAGGCGTACTTATAACTTAGTGCCAAACCTTCTAAAAATATTGTCCAGTTTCTAAACACAAGCTTTTTATACAAGTTCTCTCCTTATTCTTCAAAATCACATTCGTTTTGCTCCGACAATAGCACTGCTTCTAGTTCCTTACTGAAGTCTTCATTGCCATCCTGCTCTTCAGCCACTTCTTGTTGGGAGAACTTTTCCTGATCTTCCTTTACAATGTCAAGCGAGTCTTTGACAGGCTGATAACGAACGCCTGTTTGTTGATAGAATAATTCCTTCTGAGCTTTCCAATCCTCAGCAGTCTTCTCAACTACATCCCCTATCAATGTCTGGTTCTCTGTTATGTGCTTTATATTTTCTACATCCACCATGTCTCTAGCCGCTTCAAGAAGAAAAAAGAAAAAGCAAGTGAGAAGATGTCCTCCTCTGACTTTAAAAGGAAAGTTAAAATCTTGAATGCAAAAGAGCCTTATGGGATTTAGTGCGCGCCTAATTGCCTGAGAATCTTGGGAACTAAACTCATTTGCAACTTCCTATATACATTCTGAACAAACGGAATGCAATAGTTTGTGAACTAATTGGTAGCTTCACTGCATCAACATATTCACAATAACTGACTATACAAATTTAGACCATAAATGATTTTATTTATTACCTGACATGGGATATTGACTTTAGCAACGGAATACTTCTAAGATAGAAGAATATTATACAGACTTGGATAATCCGTTCGAAATAATACAAAAAGTGCCTTACTTAACACATCAATAGTGCTAACAACAAATAGAAAATGACCAAAATATGTTTTCCGTTAAAAGCTTAAGAAGCTCATTGAGGTTACCTCTAATAGCTAGTTCCTTGGCCCTTGCATATTCTGCTGACTTTTGCTTGAGCAAATCCACCTCAAGCTCCATGCCCTGGAATAAATGGGAATACCATTTCAGCACTCTGAAGTCAAAGATAGAGACATGCAATAGCAGGTTAAGTGACAACAGACCTAATGAAAGGAACTGCATCACTAAAGCAGCCTCCCAAAAAGCTAACTCGTCCACTTTTTATAGACAAGTAACAAGCTAATTTGCTTATACTGATCAACTCAAACATTCAAAAAACTCCCGATGCAAATAATGGATCATATGGTCAAATGATCCTCTAACAAGATATCTGATTTTTGTGATTAAAGTTTAAAAAGAAACCTCCGTTTATTGTTTTCCTCTCACAAACAGGCAACTTGAGATTAGTCCATTCCTTTTGTAGTACTTCATTTCACTTGCCCTTTTAACTACCACACACGCTACGGTAAAAACTAAGCATCCACTCCAAGAAAAAAGAATCATAAAAGAACAATCTTATGCTATTCTTAAAATACTTGCTAAATTACATAATTACAAACACAGACCCACACAAAAACAGAGACAATTTAGTATTCCAGCAAACAATATGAATCATATTTGGATAGAAGAAATCCAACCAATTTAATGAAAGAAGTTTTACACAGTCAATTGGTCCAAAATTACTAAAATCCTACTTATAATTTTTATTTTTGATGATGTTGAACCTGACAATTTTCTTGCAAAATCAGTAAAGTAAAGGTCTACTCAGAATTTCTATCAAAATGGTGGCTAAGTTCAACAAATCCATATATTTAGCCACATCAATCCATATGACACTGTAGGCAAAAGCACACAGCTGGAAGCATATTCTAGAATGGAAAATTGGTAGAGCCCTTCTCTTTGACTTTAAAAAACAGTCTTACAAACATACCATATCCATGTGGGTGAAGTGCTCGATCCGGGTATTTGCAAATAACCTACGTCATTCAAGGAAACAAGGTGAGCGAATGTATAGAGAAGGGTGTGAAATATAACAAACGGTTGCCAGAAAAGTATCAGTAACATACTTTTTGGATGCTATACGGATACTTGCATTTTGTATTTCCGTCAGTTCATCTAATCTCTCAGCTACAGAGCCTTCATTCACATCCACAGACCCAAAAAGAAACATGTTCCTGTCTAACATACGTTTGACTAAAGCAGGGACTACTTTAACACCTTTAGCCTTTGCCTCTGCGACAATGTTCCGAAGATTCTTCAGGTCTCCTGCCAAATGGAATAAAAAGAATTATGGTCAAACTACAAAGCATCAAAAGCTACTGACAGTTGCACAGTAAACTAAACTGGCAATTAAACACTTGCCAAATTTTGTAAATAAACACTAGCCAAAGTAAGAGTTTCAAAGTCCAAATATTAATTTAAGGAATCCCCAAATAACACAAGAAGGTCTTCCAGAGGGACATTTCTTCTCTGATTGGCACTGCTAGATTAGAAGAATTACAGCGGCTACGCACCCACAAACATACAAATTTTTATATCCTCAAAGATCTACAACTAAAGGAATATGAATAGAATGTCATACTTCATTTAAACAAGGGTGATGCTATGCTACATATCAGGAACAATAAATTATGGTGAACCAGTTCTACAAGTGCCAAGGAACATATATTGAACTTGCAAATTATATTTGAAAACATATACTGTTCAATGGATTATTTCTGAAAGTGAAAATGAGGACTCAATGACTTTCCTTGAATTTAGTATTGTCAAAAGGCAGTTTGAGAAATGATAGAGAGAAGGAGATCATTTGGCATCAAAGGAAGATTTAACTGGAGGTCCTGTTGATTTTGGACCAATGAAACACAACCTGTTCTTCAAATGAAATTAAAACTGACATTTAAGAACTTTTTAGCAAAATGATAGTACGAGCTGGTTTGTGATTGGTATCTTAGTAGCATCAACATATTCCTTACCTAGATTTTCATTTTTCACCAATTATTCAAGCATTCCTTGACTTCTTGTGCTTCATCTATTATTATGATTTGATAAGAAAACTGAATAGAGTGTTGACCCACCTGTGGTTCCAATTATACAGGTTAATGTCCTCAAAGCTAAACCAAGAAAAGGTTTAACATCAGTCGAAGCAACATCGGTGGACAACTAATAGTGGTCCAATTCCATTCACTTAACCTGCAAAAATATAGATACTTGATAGTCCAATTACATGTTTGGAGAACTCTTCAAAGAACTGAAGCAACCTACTTAGAGTATGAGTAAACTATGAATTAACATCCTCACTAGAGCTATTCATTTGATTTACATATACATGTTACGTCATAATTCATCTGATATACAACATTAATATTGTGTTATAGTTCCAGTAACATATTTTGAAACAAGAAATCTAGAAAGTACCCATGATGATATATGCTCCAGACAGTGCCATCACAAAGAAAGAAATTTGCAACTCAATCAGTGAAGTGACTAATTCATGTTTGATTCTAATGTTTTTTGTAAAGATTCGATTGTAACGTTTAATTGTCTCATCTCATAAGACCAAAACTGCACCACCGAGAGAGAATCACCACATAAAAAGCACTGTTTCATGACATACAACAACAACAACAACAAACCCAATGTAATCCCACAAGTAGGGTCTGGGGAGGGTAATGTGTACGCACACCTTACCCCTACCTTGTGAAGGCAGAGACCCTCGGCTCAAGGAACAGAGAAAATAAAGCAACAAACAGTAGTAAAAAAAATGCAATAGAAGCAAACAACACAACATGTAATAATAAAAAACCAAAAATAAGAGAAATACAAAAATAGTACTAGTACTACTGGTAAGACTAAGAGACACTAGCGACTACCGGTCATCCTTCCACCCTAATTCACGATATATCATGTTAAAAAGGTTGTATGTATATATATACCTAGAGATATATAAATCTTGAAAGGAGGCTTGAATGGCTGCGTCTCATAAAAGCAGTACAGGGAATAAAGCCCACCCAGTCTACTCAAAAGAGAATAAGTAGATACCATGTAACCTGCAATGCATTCAATTCGGTTAATCTAAAGCATTAAAATATAAAATATCAGCCACAGGGAAAGGTGAAAATCTTACACTAGTATGACAACTCTCTCATAGAAATTTAAGAGAAAATAAACATCAGAAAAAGAATTTAAGGATGCACTCACATTCACTACTTTACTGATATATCTCCAAATACTAAAATCACTTTCCAAAGGCTTTGTTTGGTGTCAGAGCCAAAATTTTACACCTTCTACTGTGCTATCTATCGACATTTACCAGAGCATATGATGATGAGGGAGAGAATATTAGAACAAATTGAAATGTCTGAGTTGATTTGGAAGAATCTCTCAAGGTTTCTATACTTCTCTTAGAAATCGTGATTTGGAAAAATCTTTAAAGAGTTTGTGTTTCTCTTAGTTTGTGACCCTTCACATTGCTACTCATTGACTGATAAGCAGGTAAAATTTGGTTATAGTAGCACATGGAATGCATCATATTTAGCAATCAAATAAATCAACAGTCATTTATATATGTAATTTGTAACTTTTAACCACGAAAATAAATAAGCAAAATGGTGTTCACTTGAACTTCAGTTCTGTTGAGCAAAAGACAAATAATACAGATCTACTGCTACCTCAGTGCTATAAAGTATTTCAACATTCTCTTTTTTTTTTTTTTGGGGGGGGGGGGGGGTGTAGGTGACATTTCTCAACATTCCTATAGTTCCATGCACCTCATGATGGTTGTTTCACATTAAAGGTAGAAAGTTTTTCATATATAAGTGTGTGTATACCACAATAATCAGAATCATTCTCTCCGAATGAAGCTAAAATATGTTAAAATAGGAAAACTAACAAAAAAGTAAAATAGAAAACATTTAGACATACCACTACAGTAGGCATAGAGTGATTGCATAAAGCATGCCTGATCTTTAGAGGGACTCGCCTCAAAAATATAGGAGAACTTTTTAGAGACCCACACTCTCTTCATTTCTGCAAAACTAGGAGATCCACCCTATAAAACACCATATTACTGGTATGAACCATTATGAAAAGTGCAAGATAAATGAATAGCATTCATTTTATTTTGGTAATGATAATGACGAGTTGAGTTAAATGAAAGGAATGAGGATTCATATCGCCGACCCCAACTTGCTTGGGACTGAGGCGTAATTGTTATTGCAAGATAAATGAATAGATCGAAACTATACTTAGATTGAAGGGAAAAAACAGGCATATTAGTACCTTGGCAAACTCATTTATAAGCTCATCAATGTCTAATTTGAACGGTTTGAGGTCCATATTGTTAAAGTTGACTTCTCTTTATGGCCTACAAGTAGAACATTTCTTGATTAAGCTAGTGCAAAGAACATACGCTACTATAAATTCAATATCACTACAGTTAGAAGAGAAGACCGTCACGAATAATAACCAACAGACCGCTTTTTGCTACGACTGAGGGGTTGCATTGGTAAAGTAAATAATGATACCATATTGGCAGGTTCATATAAGAATAGCCTAATAATAAGAATTTCTCATAGAAAACATATCTTATTTAAACATATTTGTTGCTAATTATTTGTTTGTTAAATACAACGGTTGGTTCAAATCATGAACTATTCAGTATTAGCAACAAAACAGTCAACTACAATCTCAAAAGTTTACATATCAAAAGTCTATCACATATTATTTACAAATTTATAAGTTGTAAATAACTGAAATGCATAAATAGGAAAAATTATAGCAGATGCCTTTTCACAATATCAAAATGCAAAATAAAACCCATAAAAAAGAAGGATAAAAAAAGGGAGTGGTACTAGAAGCACATTGTATCCATCCACTAATCTATCACAGTAATTATATATAAAAAACAATTGTCGCACTTTCAAATTGAAGAAACTGATCAACAGATCAGATTCGAACTTCTATGCCGTAAATTGTCTAAGTACTATTACATGGACACAAACCCAAATTACAAAGACCAGAAATGACACACTCGAAAAAGATATCTAATTTTCATAATAAACATTAATAACCAAACCAAGGAACGGGTACGATATTCAGTATATATTTACAAATTAACAAACCACTTAAACACAGCATATGAATAAAAATATTACCGTTATAATTGTACTCGATGACTTGTCATATTTTGAATTAGGTACACTTCAAAAACTTCATCCTCCATGTAACAAACTAAAGAATATAAAAAATTCTTCACCAATTTTGCTTCACAAGTTAATTTTAGTGTATTCCATTGAAGAAAAAGCTCTTCCCACTGTTAACGACATGTAATAATAAACTTAACTTCAGAAGCAAATAAACGAGTTTTCAAGTCTTGTGCAGATGTGTTTCAAGATTTAAGAGCTCCATAATTTCAACAATTTTAACCTCTGGTGTAGGGATGGTAGTGGGGCGCGGTGGGGAGGGTGCGGGGCTAGACTTAACCTGTAAAAATTTCAACCCGCCCCGTCTCGCCCCACATAGCATTTTTATGTGATTTTAACCCGCCACGCTTCGACCTGCATAAACCCGCCCTGCCCTGTCAATAAAAAAATTCTTCCTATTTTCTACTTTGTTATCCATAAAGGGCAGCCCGATGCACAAGGCATCCCGCGTTCACGCAGGGTCCAGGGAAGGGTCGCATACCAAGGAGCATATGTTGACAACCTACCCTAATGCAAGCATTAAAGGCTGCTTTCACGGCGAACCCATGACCTATAGGTCACACGAAGACAACTTTACTGTTGCTCCAAAGCTCCCCTTCTACTTTGTCATCTATATATTAAATAAATTCAAAAATTCTGAACAACTTTCAAAAGAATATTTTCAGGTAATAAATAATGGCTTCTTACACATGCCGATTGGTGCTATGATGATACTGTAACTAAGTATGCATAATTTAAATGTGTTACGATCTTAGGAGCAAATAGTATTCATCTGCATTTGTGGGCTTTAGATCATAATGTTAATGCAGTCATATCTACTTAATTGTCTGTTCGGTAATTTTTCTTTAGGATTGAAATAAAAGCATATGCCTGAATACTAAGGGAAGAAATGTCGCTAAAGTTCTAACATAATGTGAGCTTCCAGTATTTTGAAATAAAACCATTAAAGCTGCCAAGAAGAAAACTTTTTTTTTTGGATGAAGTGGTGTGTTAATAAGAAGGCATACAGAAGATGCAATGATTCCAAAAAAAGGAGATATCAGCTCCAAGGAAAGACAAAAACCTATGACAATACTATAGAGCTGATAAGAAATTCTAATAAAGAGACAGACATCAGGCTGTCAAGAAGAAATTTGTAATTCAATATGAATTTTTGTAATCCACAGGCCATCAATTTCTAACATAAAGTAGAATAGATCGTAATGGTTATCATATCATATATTTTTACATTAATTTGTTTTACTGATTATTTCATCAAGTAATCTCACCTAACTTATCAATCTAATCTATCCTAAGACCTTCTAAATGCCTAAGATAAAACGTTAATGAACTATATGTCTATATCTAATAAAGAAGCAGACATCAAGGTGTAAATTAAAACGTGAAACAAAATGCTAACCAACCAAAAGAAAAAAAGAGGAATAAAGAAGGTAGCTATGAAGCAATGGCGGAAGAATAAGATCCAGAAGAGACAGCGCAAGGAGGGAGGAAGAGGTATTAAAACGCAGGATTTTTGCCAAGGGATTCAAAAAATTAAAAAAATAAACAAGCAAAGAAGCCAACCATAACAAAAGCATTTAGATGGTAACAGATTTTATTAATAGAAAGATAAGTTTTCAACAAAAATATAGTGCTAAGATAACCAGACCATAGTTACAAGACTTTTGAAAGAGAAAAAAAAAAACAAAAAGTTAAGTATTGTGTTAGTTACAAGGACGCAATGAGATCAACTATCTTATAATCTTGAAGAAGAATAAACAGAAAAAGTAATTAACTTTATATATATTTGGATATTTAACAAGTTAGCCATTGAATACATTGGCACTTGGTAGAGGGCAATTCTAAATCACTTATCTATCTCAATTTCTTGAACTCAAGGCCAGGATAGCCAAATAGTCTATAATTTTCAGTTTCACTGGGCAATAATATGATTGATACCTTTTGTTGACAAAAAAAGAAGTAAAAGTATCTATTTTTCATGAACAAAGTTTAAAACCAGCAAAACCCCACCCAACTGTATAACAAACACTCATCCCATCTCTTTCAAGCTCCAACTCCAAATTCATCAATATCTACAAAAATCCCAATGCTTACTGTAATTCCAAGCAACTCATTTAAAAAAAATTCCTAAACCATAAAAATAAAAAATAAAAATACAGAGAGAAGGGAAGTTACCGGGGAAGCTACGACCGAAGAGGCGACCGGCGACTGACAAGGTGAGGAGACGAGCAGGAAGCAGCGGCAAGAGGCAAGAAGCAGTGCTCTTTTTATATCTTTTGATTTTGAAATTAGGGATTTTTCTCGAGCAAGTTTTTCGACATGGCTGTTTAAAGTCATTAACTTTTTATTTGAGGGTGTTTTAGTCTTTTTATATATCTCCTTATATACATGTCGCTGGAAGTTTCCACAAACCAAACCAAGAGTATACCTTATGTTTCTTCTTGCTCTCAAGATCTGTTTGTGTTCTTTCTGCAATTAATTTTGCACAGATGTTCTTCTTTTTCCTTTATTCAATGGTTGTAGAATCCATTCATCTTCAACCTCAGATTTCATCTTTTGTATCTCTCTTTTTTCCCTTTTACCAGAAGCTTAATAGTTTCCCATTGTTGATCTTCTCTTTTTTAGAGCCTAAATGCTTCTCTATCTCAGCCAGATACTGACACTGATCTGGCTGATGAGCCAACTTAAGAAGAAGAAATTTTTTTTGGGTATAGCCTTACATTGCTTAATAAAGTTTGGAGTTCTTTCTCTTCCAATGTTCCTTTTCTTCAATTTCATCTCCTCTCTTCTGCTCTTTCATGGCTCTGTCACGGTAAACTACTGCTGATTTCTGAATAACAGGAACGAGATTCGAGTTTTTGCACCATCTACATAAAGGCTTCAATTATTGGGTTTTAGCTCAGGTAATCTTCTTCAGTCTGATTCCCGTTATTCTTTTTCTGCACTAACTCTACCCTTGTCATCAATTTCTCATTTCTGGTCTTCGTTCAAGGAGGATTACTGTTTGCTGTAGTGTGTAAGCATTCACTGCCTTTATTTCACCAGATATAAAACTTCAACGTTGTGATAAATTTTTTCTCTTTTGTACATAGATTTTACTCTCTCTTATTGCTGCTATAACTTTTAACTCTGCCTCTAAGTCTTTTGTTCTTGGGGGTCAAGGTCCAATAAAATTCATAGGTTTAGGAAGAAGCCCTATCAAATAGTGATTTTATCTTTGGACCATATTTTGATTGATAATATGATATATAAGGACCGCTAAATTCAAAGGCTAGCATTAATACAAATGAAGTAGTTTATTTCATGTTAGAAATCATTAAGTGGATAGTATAGTCAATTGGGCTCTAAGTATTCTATAGAGTCCCAGCTTCTTCGACTATGTGATATGTGTTTAATGATTATTTTCCGTTACTGATCTAGAAAGAGTGATTTAATTAATCGTGACTATGATTATGTTCGTTGCCTTGGGAGAAATCAGTTCGCATATTCCTCATATGAATGTGCCAAATGCATTAGATTCAAGTTTTTAATGAAGATGTGGTTGCCCTCTTGAATGATACAAGATTAATTCCTAATTTTTTCTTTAAATAGACACTTGAAAGAAGAATTTTAGCATGACTTCGATAGATTGTTAATTGTTATAGTGTATAAACTCAGTCATTTGAGGCTGTCCATTTTGAATCATAAAAAAACTTCATAAATTTTTCAGAGTAGGTGTATAAGTTCAGTTGATAACTGTGTTTTGATCCTCTCGCTAGAGAAGTTACTGCAAATATTCTAATTTAGTTTAGATGATCCTGCCGACTTCTAATGTGAACAGCTTGAACCCATGTGGCTTCAGAGCATTTCAGCAAATTTTGGCATGTATTTTCAAATTCTGATTATTTAATGATACGCCTCTACTTTGCTATTTCCTATTTGCGATGTCATTTAGAAGAGGAAGTGGACATATTATGATTAAGTTAAAAACTCAGAAACATTCCAAACTCTTAACTGGCTTTTGTTTAAACAATTCTACCCAAATTTTGATTTAGTTAAAGGCAAATCTAAAACTTAATATCTCTGTTGTGTCTCGTAGATTGTTGATAATGTTAGTAAATACTTGCACACGCATTTGCACATTGTGTTTACACTAATCATGTCAAATTTACATGCTGATTTAAACCATACTTATTACACAATGACGTCTCAATTTATATATGTTTGCAAGTGCTTTAATTTCTAGTGTAAAACAAATTATATTTGCATTGCAGGTATCAGTAAGAAATAGCCTTTCTACATTCACTAGGTAGAGATAATATCTGTGTATACACTACCCTCCCTCACTGGGTATGTCATTGTTGTTGTAGCTTTTGGTACTCTCTGTAATTAAATAGACACTGTTCAAGGAGCTGAAAATAATTCAAATATAGGAGAAACAAAATTTATGAAAGAATTCTGAGCATAGAAAGTGGAGAAAACTCAAACTTGTAGATCCAGAAAAACCACAAGAATTTAAAAACTCACTGGAAGTACTGAAGCAAGAAAAAAATGCAGAGAGAAGCCAAAGAGAGAATCAGAGTGAATAGATGGAAAATTGTAGAGTTATAGTGTGCCTGAATCTGTGCATCAATTTATTCTCTCTAACGACGAAAAATAAGTATTTTCTTTTAGTGATTCAAGAGGATGTTACAACAAGTAACGATCTTAGTCGCTACATTTGGTTGGAGGACATATAAAATGGTAGCGGAGTGATGAGAGTTTTAAAGTAAAACCACACATGCATAAAAGTAAATATACCCGTTTATCTAACTTTATTTGAGGCTTCAATTGTTTCTGCATCAGTTTGTAGCATTTAGCTGGCCCAGTTTCCACTTTTCTTCTTCTTTTTTCCCTTTAGTAAAGATCAATTTTTGAAAGAGAACATAGGAGAAACAGAGAAAAATAACCAAGATAAAACATTGTCCCTCAGTTTTTAACATCTTTTAATGTCCGTGAGGACCACGACCGAAAACTTATCAATGATGACAGAGCTTTAAATAAGAATCTCTCTTCAATCTAGATGGTTTATTTGTGTGCAAATGTGAGATCTGAATTTAGCTCTTTGCACTTTTATACCACTGCAAGATAATTTTTATGCCAAATGATACATAGACAAATCTGCTATGAGAAGGACCAAAATAAGAAAAAAGAAATTGAGTATATTGTTTCCTAAATAGTTACTGTAAGTCTGGAACACTATATTTATATTGCTTTCTAAACTGTTATCCATTTGATCACCATTGAATTGAGATTATTAAATATAATCTGATGCTTATCAGTGTGAGAATGCATCTGTTCGTTCATATTTTCTTATTTTCACCAACAGTTTTTTATATTACTTTGTTGGGACATATTTTATGTTTGTATTTCGTTTAGATGTTTGAATGGAAGAGTTGAATTAGAAATAAAATGCGACATGGATCAATTTGGTACTTGCAGCTGTACAATATGAGAGACATTTAGAAGTCAAGAGCTTAACAGACTGTAACTTTGCAGGAAGATGCCAACTTGGAAAAAGAGAAGTACAAAATACAAAATAAAAGAAAGGTAGCAAGAAACATAGTTTCAAACTTCCATATGCTGCTTTATATTCAAGAGTCGACATTTTGTTCATTTACGTATGTAAATAATATCCAACAATTAGTATATTTTGTCCTCTTTATCCCATTTGGTGCTCATTTCCATGCGTCAATTTTTATATCTGCAATTTTATGTCAAAACAGAGAGTTTTAGTTTCTACGCTATTGGGCCAGTGTTGGCACGGGCTATCAATACCTAGTAATACAAATAAAATAGGGTTTTCGGTTTTCGGTTTTAAAATAGCACAACCCAATCCAAATTTTAATATTTTTTGGTTGGGTTTTTATTTGGTTACGTCATATAAAATAATTTTAATAATAAAATAATTATATTCCATGGCAAAAAAATAAATATTTCAGAGAATAAGAAATAATAATATTAAATCTCTTAAATATTAATCACGGGTAAAACTTTTATAACACAATATTTAAAAGTAATATGATCAGACATAAGAATTCAAAATTTAAATCATAATTCAAGTTCAAATGAGATCAATTCTTTGCTTGCAAATATTAAAATACGAAGAAATGGTGAAATATTTATGAAAGCTTCACAATCGATATATATATATATATATATATATATATATATATATATATACGGAATTTGAATAAAAAGATATTATTGAATTTATAGATAAAGTTCTAAAATTCGAATTTAAATTAAAAATAAAATTAATCTTTTTTATCATGTTATCATACTTAATTCGGTTAATGATCATATGCAATCATGTTAGGAACTTTTGTTATTTTTTCTAATTATTTAAATATTACTTCGCCTTTAGCAAACAAAAAAAAAATTACTCAATATAACTATAAAACTCTTTCACATTTAAAATCCTATAAGTATAGTTCTTTGAAATACTGTAGTTAGATTTGAATAAAACGAAATTCTTTTAAGATAAATGTAATATATAGGGTACACGTCTATGTTTATCTAAATAACAAAAAAGAGTTTACAAAACCAAATAAAAATTTACTTACATATTTAATAAAGTAAATATACATGCTGGAGAAAGAAACATCAAAAAATCAATCAATATTAAAAAAAAGTTGTTTCTTTTTTCTTCTTGAAGAATATTTGTTTGAAGAGTCAATTTGTATAAATGGACATCAAACAAATAACAAAACTTTGGCTATACAATTGCTATCATTAATTTCAATTTAGCACATTCAAGGAATTGAAGAATATAAGCTGAAACCCCTTCATTTAGCTGGAGTCAAGCTAATATTGCAAGGGTATAATATTTTTTCGTTGAAGAATATTTGTTTTGAATCATTAGATTATGTGAAAGGTTTTTTTTTTCAAACTCAACAAGAGAGAAATTGGTTTCTAATTGATAGTTTCTATAGCGACTTTTAAGTGTAACAAAGAGTATATATAAAGAAAAAATTGGTATGACGTGAAATATTTTTTTTAAAAATGTAAACAAATTATTTCGAAAAAACTCTTTACTGTTTTTAATTCAAAGATAATAAAAAGATAAGATATTTTTGAACATTAGTAGAGAGTTTTAAAATTATTATAATAGAAGTTATATCATGGATAAACTCAAAAAACCGAAATCTTATGGAATATTTACATAATATCCGACCATATTTATTGTTTACTTTTTATAGCTAATATAAGTAGATGATATACCGACAACACACGATTATACACATATTATACGTGGATTATATATACATTACACATCATTCAATTTTTTAATTTAAAAGTGGTCGGGTGAGCAGCTATTTAGGCTGATTAGATAAAGCCAAAAGAAAAATATGAAATAATTTCAACCAAAGACTAAAAATATAATTAAAGTTCATATGAGACAATTTTTATTAAAACTCGTCCTTTTATAGTGAAATAAATTAACTTTTTTGTAACAAAGAAATAATGACATAAAAAATAAGATAAAAGAAAATAAATATTGAAAAAAATGTTAGAAAAATCTAAAAACGAGAAAAATAAAAGATGACAACAAATTTCTTCTTGTGTTTCATCTTTGTTGAGTATAAAAAATTTGAAAGATAATCTCATCGATTTCAAATATTTTTTTTTTCAACTCACATCCATAGATTATAAGATAAGGATATCTTAGAATATTTTTTTAAATTTACATTATGTGTCGTTTTTAAAAAATTACTATTACTAATAAACTGATATGATATTTGAATTTGAATTGGAATGCAATTTGAGTAGTTTGCATTGAGGTTAAGCTAAGTATGATATCGAAAAATATACCGTTTGATAATTTTAAGACAATATATACAATATTTTATAATAATAATCAACTAATTTAACATTTAATGATTCAAAGAACAAAATTTTTGTATGTATAGGGTATTAAAAATTCAAATTCAAAAATAAAATTAATTGAAAAAACTTTTCTCTCCCTACCTTCACTCGTGCTCTCGGCGCATGTTAGCCAAACATACGCCGGTGTGGCTATGGCAGGAGCGAGAGGTCGGGGAAGAGGAAGGGGGCGAGGTCGACCTAGGAAAATACCTATTGTAGCTTCTGGGAGCTCAGTTGGAGCTCGGATTCAAGGAGAAGTAACACCTAAAAGTACACCAATGGCGTCCCTGTACAACTAGTAGAGGAAATTAGAACCAGAAGAAGAAAAGTGGAAATGTGCTCTAATTGCATATGTTATTGGGGAAACTCCTGGATACAACATTATGAACAGGTAAATTAGCCAAAATTGGATAAATATAGATACACCAGAAGTATATTTGCATGATGAGGGATACTATGTGGTTCGATTCAACTCTGTAACTGACATGCATGCTGTCTACTATAATGGACCATACACTATCAGTAATCGACCTATAATTCTTAAGCCATGGACAACAGATTTTGATTTCAGCAAAGAGTTTCCTTCTGAGATTCCATTATGGGTGAAGTTCCCTAATCTACCTATGAACTGCTGGGGTAGTAAATCATTGAGTAGAATTGCCAGTGTATTAGGGACTCCTGTGTTTGCCGATGAATGTACCACAAAACAATCAAGGATTTCCTATGCGAGAATGCTTGTAGAAATAAATGTTAGTCGCCCACTCCCTAATGAAATTACAGTGATTGATCCAAAAGGGAAATATTTTCAACAACAGGTGACATATGATTGGAAGCCAAATTTCTGTGGAGTCTATCAAGTAGTTGGACACAAGTGTAGGGAAAAGGATGTGGATGATGGCCAGAAGGAAGTTCAACATAGAAGAAAGAGGAACAAAACTGTCACACAGGAATGGAGATATAAAGGTCATGTGCAACCAGCTCTGCCAATTGAGAAACAAGTAGAACAAATTAAGGAGAATAAGCAGCAGATCCAGCAAGTAAATGAGAAGATGAATGCTACTCCTGAAAATAGAATAGAAGAGCAAACAGGAAAGAATAAAGGGAAGGCTATTGAAAGTCCAGAGTTCAATCTTCAAAACTTCCCCATATTCTGTTCTGTTCCTATCAAAAATGGTTTTGGAGTGCTACATGGAGGATATAGTGAAGAACAAGACCTACCTCTAGACAGAGGGGGAGGATCCAAGACCATATGATGAATTGGTTAATATGGAATGTTAGGGAAATAAATAAGAGGTATAAGCAAAAGGAACTGAGGAATTACTTAAAACAAAAAAAATTAGATTAGCTGGACTCATAGAAACAAGAGTAAAGGAGCACAACTCTAAGAAGATCAGGAAAAAAATTGATCCAACATGGGAGGTATATGACAACTATCAGACTGCAGTTAATGGAAGAATCTGGCTGGTTTAGGATTCACAATGGTGTAAAGTTAAGATGGTGAGAACTGAAGCACAAATTCTACATTGTGAAGTCACAAGCAGGATAGGAGGCATTAATTGCTTTCTTACTAGTGTATATGGATTCAATACGGTAGAACACAGAAGATCATTGTGGGAGCATCTGAAAGAAGTGGCTGTGGGCATTAACAAACCATGGCTTGTTGCTGGAGATTTCAATGTAGTACTGTATCAAGATGATAAACTGTTTGGAAATCCAATCACTTATAAGGAAATCAAAGATTACTCTGAGTTCATGCATGAACTTTTACTAACAGAAGTCCAGTGGAGTGGAGACTACTATACATGGTCCAATAAACATTTGAATACAGATAGAATATATAGCATATTGGATAGGGCTTTTGGAAACCATGAATGGATGATGACTTGGGGACATGTGGTAATGCAATATGATGATCCTTTTATTTCTGACCATGCACCTATGTTACTAACAATGGTATCTGCAAACTATAACATAAAAGTTTCTTTCAAGTTTTTCAATATATGGGCTGAGCATAAAGACTTCATGAATATTGTAGAAGAAATATGGCAGAATACATCATCCTCAAGCAATATGAAAAACATATGGATGAAGTTGAAAAACCTTAGACCAGTCTTGAGGAAATTGAATAATGAAGAGTTTAAGTTCATCAAGCAGAGAATAGAGAAGGCAAGACAGGATCTAAAGAGCACTCAGGAACAAATTCAGTTGAGGAATAACACAGACCTACTTGCAGAAGAAAGAAAACTGATACAGGAGCTGGAGAAATGGTCATTGGTGGAAGAAAGTGCCTTACAGCAGAAAGCTAAAGCTAGTTGGATCAAACTTGGAGACTCAAGCAACAAGTATTTCTCAGCATTGATTAAAGAGAGGACTCAAAGGAAGCAGATTACAGAACTTACATCTCTTACTAATATAAAACTTGTGGATTCAGAGGAAATCAGAGAAGAGATAATTAAGTTCTACAAAAGCTTGATGGGATCTACAACTCATGTCTTGCCAGCAGTTAACAAGCAAACTATGAGGAAAGGTCCAGTCATTACTCAGCAACAAAGGATTAGGTTATGTGCAGAAGTAACAGAAAAGGAGATCTATGATGGACTATCTTCAATAGGGAATGATAAGTCTCCTGGAGTTGATGGGTAAAATGCTTATTTCTTCAAAAAAGTATGGCTTCTTGTGAAGACAAAAGTTGTTGATGCTATTAATGTAACGACCCAACCGGTCGTTTTGAGCTTTTGCACTTTGCTCGCCAGTTCTCGGGAATGACTTGCCTCGTGAAGTGTATTATGACTTATGTAAATCGTTGGTTTTGGTTTTCAGGATGATCAGAATGAATTTGGAAGAATAGTTCTAAATTTGAAGCTTGAAATTTGAAAGGTTTGACCAAGATTTGACTTGTTAATATATGATATCAGATTGGAATTTTTATGATTTGGTTAGCTCCGTTAGGTGATTTGGGACTTAGTAGCGTGATCAAAATGTGTTTTGGAGGTCCGGAGTATGGCTGTCCAACGGGACGGGCCGGCCCGTCCCGTCCCGCGACCCATCCCGGTCCCGTCCCGTCCCGTCCCGTCCCGCTAAAAATTCAACGGGATGGGCCAATGTTACGCGACGGGACGGGACGCCCGTTTCGTCCCGTTTGTCCCGTCCCGTTTCGTCCCGTCCCGTCCCGTCCCGTCCCGCGTCCCGTCCCGTCCCGCCAGGTTTTTTTTTTATTTTAAAAAACTAGCCGTT